AGACACAGAGAACAGTCACACAACGTTCAGGGCCAGTGGCTGCGCTCCATTTGCTCAGATCAGCATTTATTTGTTGGAAGCGGTAACATGTACAACTGGTCCTCAGACAGGAACATGAAGGGCCACCACCCCAGGCCGCCCAAGGGAGCCCAAGCCCTCCTGGGAGAGAGCAGCCATTCCTGTGCTAAGCTTTCTCCCCGCGAGCGCCCCAGGGCCCAGGGCTTCTTGATAGGCCTCACTGGAAGTCAGCCCACGGGCTCCCTGAGGAAAGGGGCTTTCCTGGCGGTGAGCAGCTGGCTTGAGTTTGAGCTGGGAGAGCAGCGGGGGTGTCCATAATCTCCCTCTGCCTTTAGATTCTCGGAATTGGATAGTTGGCCCTGTTTGGGAGGCTGCATGGGGTTAGACTAAACTACAGCGCTTTTCAGAAACATGAGGGACATTTACACAGGAGAGGGCTTCATCAGGCCTGCGTGCACTCACAAAATATAGCATTTCCTAAGGAACCAACAGAGCAGGAAAGGGAGGGAGCAGAATGAGACAAAACTCCAAAGCCACTTGGTTTCTCCAATACATATGCGAGCAAATACAGTGTCCCCCAATAACCCACAGAGACCAACCACACAATCACTTCTACCCAAAAAAGAAGAAAAAAGTCCGAGTTGCTGAGAGTTTCTGAATCAAGCACCCACAAAGGAAACAAACAAACAAACAAAAAACAAAACAAACAAAAACAAAACCGGCGCCTCTGAGCACTTCAGGCCAGGACCGGCTGGGTCAGTCTCCTTTGGGGCATTTCTCCTTGCTCATCTTTTTCATTTTCATCCTGCGGTTCTGGAACCAGATTTTGACCTGTCTCTCTGTAAGGTTCAGAATCCTGGCCACCTCGTAGCGCCGGTCCCGGGTGAGGTACATGTTGAAGAGGAATTCCTTCTCCAGCTCTAGCGTCTGGTATTTGGTGTAGGGACAGCGCTTTTTCCGGGTGGAGCGAGCGTGGATCCAGTTCGCTGCGGGGTTGTCTAGGAAGAGGAGGGTTTGCAGACAGGGAGCAAGGGGCGGAGGGGAGGCAGGGAGAGACGACAGGGTGGGGAAGAGAGGTCGTTAAATTAATTTCACCAAGGATGGACGCTTTTCACAACTTGGGGGAATTATCATAAAAAGCCTTAATGCCCGCGCTCTGTTTACCGTACAAACCGCGCGCCCAAGGTAGGTGGTTATGGGAAGCTTTTTTATGGATGCGTGTTGCTCGCCTAGGCTTGGGTAGGCGTCTAGACGTTTTTATAGGTTAGTAAAACTATCAGTTTTGCACATTCGAGCCTTACAGGTTTCAGCAATAAATCAGGGGGTAATTTCTTTTGCACTTACTTGGGTCAAGTTGCTGCTGCGGCGGCTGCGGCGGCTGCTTCTCCTCCTCCTTCAGCGGGCAGCCCGGGCTCGGGTGATCGCTGCAAGCTGAGGGCTCGGACGAGCCTCCCGCCCCAGGCCCGGCCCCGATTCCCACCCCGGGCCCGTTCCCTCCCGCTGCCGCGGCCGCCGCCTTGTCCCGCAGGAACGAGTTGCACGGGAATTCTGGGCCGCCGCTCCCCTGGGACTCGCGGACCGCGGAGCACTCAGTCCGTTTGGAGGAGGAGGACGAGGAGGTGGAGGAGGAGGTGGAGGCTGCGGCGGGGGCCGGGGCCGCTCCGGTTTCAGGCTTAATCCCGTAGTGGCGCCCGTTGGCTGGGCCGCCAGGGCTGGGAACGGGACCCGGGCCTCCACCGCCGCCGCCACCACTGCCACCGCCGCCACCCGCGCTGCCGGGGAAGCTGGGCAGAGGTTCCATCCAGGAGCGCACGTAGCGGCCCGGCTCGGCGGTGGCCAGGGGTGGCGGGGACACGTACGGGTGGTACAGGCCGCTCATCGTCGCCGCCGCCGGGGGCTGGGCGGCCACCGCGGACCACGAGGCGGAGAACACGGTCGATTTGGGGGCAAAACTACACGAGGCGAACTCGGCGGCGGCGGTCGGGCCATCGGCCACACCTGCGGGCCGGCCCTGCGTCCCCGGCCCTGGTGGCCCGAAGCGCGCGGAGAACACCTCGTCGCCCTCATGGCCTATGAGCGAGTCCACGTAGTAGTTGCTGAGCGTGCCACTGGACGACATGTTGAGGCGCCGCGCGCTCCCACCCAAGGTTACACTGCCCGCCGCCGAGCCGCTCTTCGCCGGCGCCCGAGCCGCCGACTAGTTCGCAGACTGCAGCCACCACCATTGGTCGCGCGGCCCACGTGATCATATTTACCAATACCCGGAGTAAATCAGTCCGCTAAACTGGGGGCTGCTGTGATTAAAAAAAAAATCATCATCAACAGGAGCGCTGCAATTAGAGCTGTCGGGCCCAGGTCCACGCGCCAGCCCGGCCTGGCCCGGCCCAGCCCGCCCGGGTGGCGGCGGCGACCACAGGCCCAACTGCAGCCGCAGGAGGCGCTGGGGACTATTTGTTCATCTCTTCTTGCTGCTCTGGGTCCTGCAATCTCCACCCCGGCTCTGACTCCCTGACTCCTGGGCTCTGCGCCCTGGGTCGGGCTTCCGTGGCACACCTAGGCGCTCACCCAGAGCCCGGAGCAGACGGAGGCCCCAGGCCCGGTGCTACCCCACAGGCAGGCCTTTAAGGGCGGCCCCCTGGCGCCCAAGGGGAGTTGTTCTCCCTTAGCCTCTTTTCTTACCTAAACCCACCCCTCCCCACACGTACCCACACACGCTCTCTCACAGCTTGTCGTGTTGTTTAAAACAGGTGGAAGACCTCTGTAATGATATTATGCCTTTCAATAAAAATTTTATGAGGTGTATTTGATTATAGATTAATGTGTCCCTAATAAAACGGACGGATGGAGCAGCTCGAAGGGCCCCCTCCCTCTACCACACTCGACACTCCCCGGGCAGCCACACGTACACCCTCGACGTGAGGCTAGGCACACGCCCGAGGCCCAAGGGGTGAGCTGGGGCAACCGGCCCCCCGGGCCTGGGCCAGCTCTGTGCAGCCTCTGCAGGGGTGGCCTCCGAGGGGCTTCTCTCTGCCCTCGGATGGGCGGTGAACACTGGAGTCTCACCATGGTGCCTTATCATTTTCCGGCCTTCTGGAATGGCCCTAGAAGAAAAACATGCCACAGAGGGAAAAACCCGAACGCAAACGGGGTCAACTCTCACTGGCCAAATCAGCCCTGCCTGGGTGAGGCTGGCGGGAACCGCATCTCCGTGGGCAAGGCCTCTGGGTGCCTTTCACACTGAGAGGCCTGCAAACGGATTCTGAAGATGTCTTCAAAATCCAGACGAGAGGACAGGTCTTCCAGCCACTCCCTGCCCAATTTTCCTCCCTTGCCTTCAGAGGTGAGGTCGGGCAGCCTTGAATCTGAGAGAAATGCCCATTGTCACTCCCAAATCCATGGTACAAAGCCCGGCTGGAGCCGAGACAAAAGCCGCAGGCCAGCAGCGATTGAGAGGGCATATTCCTAGCTCTACAAGTTGCCCAGCGCACCCTTGGAGGGCTCCCAGCCCTCCTCTAGCCCCGGAAAGAGAGGGGGTAGGTAAATGGCTACTCAGGGCCTGATTGATTGCCTTTGCGAATGGCTTTCTGATTTTGTTTCAGGGGGCCTGCTCTTTTCCTGTAGCACAGGGCCCCCCACACACACATCAGAAAGTAGTGGCGCTCCCCACATCACTGGGAGAAATTAATATATCCCTATTGCTTTGGCCCATCCAAGATAAATCAGGGGCAGCTTTATTCCATTACCCTCAAACTAGTAGTGAGTCAGATACCTCTCTTTCCCAGCCCCAGGAAATAAGCTCCTAAAGGGATCTGTCTTGAAACTTGGGAGGATTTGGGGTTTGGGGAAGGAAGTTTAAAACAATAAACACTGAGCATCCCAAAGACTGTTTGAATGGGGGCTCCGAAGTTCAGGGAGACTTACATGGGTTGTTCTTTTGGGAGGACAAGGGCCTGTGTTTAAAAAAGAAAGAAAGAAAAGAAAGGAAAGGAAAAAAGAAAACAAACCTGTTTTATGATGGGTCTTTGAAGATGGGTTGAAAAACCACAGGCCGAACCTGGGGCAACGAATTCGGTCACCTCTTCCCATAAGGACCTCTTCCCCTTTCCCTGGCAGGACTAGATGGATCTGGACTCAATGGTGCGGATTCCGCAGGAGCTAGCTTGAATTTTCCAATCTATGTGTGTGAAAGGACCATTGGACTGCTCAGCTACAGTGGCTGCAAGGAGCATTTTGTAATAATAATGAGAGATTTGACTGGGAAGAATATTTCCATGTTTTTCCTTTAAAAGAATCCATGTGGGCCACTGAAAAGTAATGGCTGAACATAAATCCCTTTCAGAAATGAACCAAGGTAGAGTAAGCCGAGAGAACTCACCCAGCCTTGGCTTCACTGGGCCTGGTTGTCTTGAGCTTGGGATGGGTAGGAATGAGGGGAGGGGGCGCACAATTGGATCCGGTGACATGCTAAGCTTGTTCCTGTAATGGATGTCAGGCAGGTTCCAGGTGGGCATTACTAGTTCCAACCTAGCCCCTGATGGCGGATTCCCCAGCCAGAAGTCATCAAGAGCTCACTGAAAGCATTAAAAATAACATGACCAAAAACCAAAGAGAAGGAAACACAGGCATATGGAACTGAAAGTAAAAACCAGCCCAGGCTTACTTACCAGGCACAGGCTAGAGGGAAGCCTGTCCATTGAGAATGCAAGTATAGGAACAAGATTGGGGGGGGGGGAGGACAGACAGGACACTCTTCCCGGGCGAAATCACCGCTCACCCCACCATTGCCATATTCCAGCACCCTAGGTGCTCCTCCCCAGCTTCCTCCTGTCCCCTGTCTCCTGTACACCCTGACTCCCCTACCCAACTGCCCCAAACAGGCCCTTTCCCAAAGGCTTTCCTCTCCACCATAGCGTATTTCCATTTCAGAAAGCAGAGGGAACAAACTCATTTCCAGAGTTTATTGCATTATACATGCGGTGAGAACATGCACAGAAAGCACAGGTTGCTGTTGTACTTCTACCAAACCACAAATGCACCACAAGGGAAAGGCTACAAGGCATAAGTCGTCAATACTCCATTCCACCAAGGACAATTGCTAAGTTCATTTGTGAAAAGATACATTGTAATGTGCTTTTTAAAGTCCCCCTCCCCCCAAGCTTGTGGGTTTTCTTATTCGTTTGAAATATATATATATATGTATGTAATTTTAAAAGTACTGGACGTTTTCAGAATGACACGAGTTCATGGGCTAACCACACACAGAGAACTTTCATGTGAGGAAAAATGTGGAAAAAGTCACATTGCTGGTTGGATAGATGGGTGGATGAGTGTGGATGGTTGGATGGATGCTCTACAGTTCCAATAAGTTAAGACCCAAATGAAAATAAATGCGCAGTAATAGGTACCCTGCATTACGATGAAAAAATAAATTACACGTGCTAAGTTTTTTAATATATATGTATATATATATATACTCATAGGGAATACAGATCACTTGCAGCACGAACAGAATGACCCCAAAGTCACATTCTAGCAGGAAAACAGAACAGAACAAAACAAAACAAAACAAAAAAACCAAAGAGCAATGAAGGTTTCTTTCCCCTTCCCAGTCTTCCAGCACTCGGGCCTGGAACACGGTGCCCCCTCTCGGATCCTGGCCTCACAGGGCCTCAGACCTAAGAAAAGGTGAGGTTGGCGGTCAGTTCTCGGATTCGATTCTCTCGGCTCATCTTCTTGAGTTTCATTCGGCGGTTTTGAAACCAAATCTTGACCTGCCTGTCGGTGAGGTTAACGCTCTTACTGATCTCTAGGCGGCGCTCGCGGGTGAGGTACATATTGAACAAGAACTCTTTTTCTAATTCCAGCGTTTGGTGCTTAGTGTAAGGGCACCTCTTCTTCCTGCCACTCTTTGCAGTGAGCCAATTGCTGGTTGGAGTATCAGACTTGATTTCCTCTAACAAAATTAAAGGGAGAAGAAAAAAATCAAGAATTTTTTTTTCTCTCAGTCCATTCAAATATACCCTTGGCCATGACCCTGCTGACAGACAGGCTGCTTTGGACAATGCAGGTATTAAACATTACTCACAAAGGTGGGGCGTGAAGGGGATTTTAAACTGATACCAAATTAGAACTAAACACTTAGTAATACAATGGATATTCTGTATCTCTCTCTCTCTCTCTCTCTCTCTCTCTCTCTCTCTGTGTGTGTGTGTGTGTGTGTGTGTCTGTCTGTCTGTCTCTGCCATACAACTTTCTGACTTGCACAAGACATTATTATAATAGTAAAGTTTACAGAATTTCCCCAGCAACACTCTAAGTGGTCAGCCCATGATAGGACAGGAAGAGAAGTCACTGCTTAAGCAGCTCTCCAATCTCCCTGATGCTCCAGGGCCCCAAGTCGGCGCTTCTTAACCCACCTCTCCTGGGTAGACAGGGAGTTCCACAACCAGGTTTATAGGGAGCCAGACTTTCTCAAGAGATAAACAAGCAAGAATACCTTCTCCACCCTGCCTGGGCATTGTTGTAGTCCCCCCAGAATTCCCACAATTTTAAAATGTTTCTTTGCCCTCACACAAAAAGCATTCCCCCAGAAATATAACTCTGTGGCCCACCGGTAGACACTGAGGGGGCAGACTGCAGGGATGGGGGTGGGCATGATTCCTTTTTAGAAACCCAGAACCCTGGTTCTTTGCCTTGTCCGAACCCTAAGTGGGCAATGCAGAGCCTTCTCGCCCTCTATCGCCTTTGCCCTCTTTGTATAAGGTTGCAAAGCCTGCGGCACTCTCCCCAGACAAAGCCAAGGTTACCTAGTCCAGCCTCTGCTTCCCCACCCAAGCACCAAGCGACCAAACCATTTCCTTCCCCTCTTAGATCGCAGGATGCGGGGTGTAAACCCTCGAACACAAACACGATGTCTCAGGCCACCTTAAAATGATCCCTGGGTGCAAGACAAAACTAGGGTTGCAAATCTGAGCCAAAGAAAAGGGGCCACCGGAGCCCTGTTTACAAGCCGCCGGGCTCCTTTTAGCTCTTTTGTTGCATTTCGGGTCTGGCTCAGGACAGATAAACCCGGCAAGCCTTTCCTCTGCCCAGGCGCCATCAGCGTGGGGCCAGGACTGGCCGGGAGGGCCTGAGCAGCGGGAGAGAATCAAAGACCGTCTCAAGGCTGAAATCTCCCCTCTAAAAGCCGGGTGGAGCAGCACCTGCCGAGTCAGGCGCTGGGCTCCGCTGCCTGGGCTCCGCTTTGGGCACCCCAGCGCTCCCTTTCCGAGGATTTCCCGGATGCGGGCCCCGTTGGGGTGGCAACTCTGTTCATACCTTTGCTTTCCTTCTCCTGCACTTCGGGACTGGACACGGAGACCTCAGCCAGGCAGCTCCTCTCTTCTGGAAGGCCGCCTTTGGCCTCGGGGCTCTCCACTTGGGAGACTTTGGTGGGCTCCTGGCCGCTCGCGGTTTCGTTCATCTTCTTTTCCATCTGCAGCTGGGCAGCCGAGAGCTGCGGCTTGGCCGCGCCACGAGGGTTGAGCTGGAGCATGACAGTGGAGCTGCCTTCGGGGCTGTTATTGTACTCTTGGGTTTTCCCGGTGGCGTAGGTCTGACTCAGTCTAAAATATCCGGGGACAGGAACCTCGGGGTTCTCAACGGGACAGGACTCGGGGACCAGCCTCTGGTACGAAGGGACCTCGGCAGAAATGAGTTTGTTGCGTTTATCAGAATACATGCAGCAATTGGATTCTTCTTTAATGTTGGCGGTGAATGAGCAAGTGGGGACTTGCTGTGTAACAGGTTGCTCTATTCGACAAGATCTGTTCGGGTCTGTCCAACTGTCTACTTGAGGTATATAAGGATGCACATTCATACCCATATTTTGGTGGTTCACCTCTCTTTTGGCCAGAGACGGGAGCAGTCCACAGGTTTGCATTCCATAGGTCCCCATGTCTGCGCTAGGTGGTGGCATGTACATGCTGGCGCTGCTCGAATAAAAACTGTCACTCCTGCAGGCACTGATCAAGGAATCTACTAAAAAAGTATTAGCAGCAGGAGAGCTGTTGGGAAAGGACATTTTGGGGAGGAATTTGAAGAAGAGAGATTGTGTCCTTTGTAGGCTGACATCTCTAGGAAAACATTCCCGGTGTAATTGTGGATGCCTCTGCCGACCACATGACACCCAAGCCAATGAGATTTGAAAATGGCCTTGAGCCGCAGCCTCCTTGTAGGTCACGTGTTCCAGAGCCCGGCCGGCCGGCCGCGTAAGCACGGACAACAGCGACATCTACTAAGCGCCGGTGATAGTGCGCGCTGGAAACAACCGGCCCAGAGCTCTGCTGCTGGCCAGCCAGTCGGCCTCCCGAGGCTTGTTTGGCCCGCCTGCCTGCCCCACTCGAGTCCCCCACCCGGCCACCGGGTCCCGCCGGCGGAAGGAAAGGCTTGAACCGAGGGGCCTCCGGGAGGACACGCGCACTGGGGGAAGTCAGAGCGCGGTGACGCCTGCTCACAGAAGCGTTTTCCCTGCACACTCTCAAGCAGAACGCGCCCAAGAGGGCCGGTTCCGGGCAAGGGGTAGGGGCGCGGGCTGGTTAATTTAGTACTGGGCAGCTGGGAAGGTGAGTCCGATTCCCCTGGTTCTGAAACATCCCTCCCTAAGGGTCCAAAGGAAAAAACTCTCCACTGCAAAGATACGACCAAGGTGTCGCGGTAAGCACTAGCAGAAAAAGGCCGCGAAGGTCGAGAGGCCACACAGCTGGGCAGATCCGGAGCCGGGAGAATGGTTCCAGCCGGTGGTTACCCTCTCCTTCGATCCTCCGGCCAGGACCCGAGGCCCTTCAGCTCCCAGGAGCTCCGGGAGCCCAGACTCCCAGAGTAACCACACCCTGACCTTTGAGGGGCCGGCCGCTGGGAGCTTCTAGCTTGGAGATAATCCTTCTGCCAGCCATTCCCTATCCGTGAAAGCGTCCCTCGGGCTCCCAGAGACAGCGAAACAGATTTCCTTTCCCTGATAACACAGGGCAGAGAGGAAGGAAGGGTAAAAGAAAATACTTTTTCAAAAGAAAGGGGGGGAAACTCTGATCCTCAGATTCCACATATTTTAGAAAACCGGCCAGAGCAAGGAGAGAGCAAAGCGAAGGTGTCATTTTAGTCTTCTGCAAAGAAAAATATGTTTTCCTTTTATGGATTTTGTAAAAGCATTGGTTTCTGACAAGTGCAAGGTACAAAAGGTTGTGGAATTTATTAATACATATTAAGAAGAATCAGGGCGATCAATAAAATTCTCATCTACATTCTTGGGCTACTTGGTAATTTTCTTGCTTCTGAAGGTTTTTAAAGAGTTATACCCGCTGTTGCCACAAACGGGAAGATATTTTATTAACAAATCAATCGAGACTTTGTAAAGGAAAAGATTAATAGTTAAGATTTAGCATAATGGCATTCCCTTTATGAATTATTGAAAATTATACTATTGATTTTCTTCCCTTCGCTACTAACCAAGAAGGTCAGTTTTTGTTTTAACACAAATCGTCAAATATTAAGAGCTATACTTTTGTCGCAAGTTAAATTTTATAGTTTTGGACAATCCCTAAAATTCTTTGCAAGGTTTTGCTTGGGCAAGAGGGAGAATGAGATGGGAGAGTCTTAGTCTTCCGTTTCCTCTGGTGAGGGAAAGTTTTATAAAGAGGATATGGTCTGGGGTTGTGGTCCAGCTCATTAAAGAGCAACCACTGCCACCACCACCATGGAAACTCGGAGTTTTATGAGAAACTTGAACAACTTCCTCCCTCCTTCTCTGGTTGCAGGCGGCAAGCCGCCCTGCGGAAGCCGGGGCCTTAGGACAGCAGCAGGGAGCTTTAACCTTGATTTCCAAAGACTTGCCCTGGACCAGGGGCCCTGCCTGTGTGGGGGAGCTGTCCTTCCGCCTTCCGGGTCCTTTCCCCCCGCGGTCAAGAAAGTAAAACGGACCCGGAAACTATGACCGTGAACGAGTTCTCTGTCCGAAGAGACATCTGTGTTCTCTTCCACACTCACCCAGGAGTGGGCTGGCCTTGGATTTCAGGCCCAGAGACTGAACTTGTGGATAAATCTGGTTTCCGCCTCCACAGAACATTTCTTTGGAGGTTCCACGATCCTTAAGGCGCCTCAGCGTTCTGGGGGACCCATTTGCTCCTTCACAAAAGCATTTCATTCCCCCCAAAACGCTTTTGTCCCCCCTCCCTCCCCTAAAGGAATTTCTCCTGGCCTGGTGAAAACAGGCACCGAACGTTATTTTCGGCCTTGGGACCGATTGGCTTGTCCCCTCTCAGTGCCCTCGCCCAAACAATAACCCTTTTAAAAAACTCCACGGTGGCAATGAGACAGACCTTTTAAACCTTTCCGCAGCTGTTCAAATACAACATCATTGTCAGGTTAAAAGCCTGGCGCCTCTAACTGCTCTGGCTGCTGCACCCCGGTGGCGAAGCTGGAGACTTAAACATTACCTTGCCACAGGGGTGGCTATTTTTAAGCTGGGGAGGGGGTATGAGGTGTTAAGTAAAGCAAAGGAGGAAAAAAAAACAAAACAACTTTTGCCTCCAGGTCGCTAAGATCCGGATCAAACCTAACAGCCTCTGATTAGCACCTCAGATTTCCCCTTTTCGCGTCGTGGCGAGCAAATTCTGAGTTACAGCTGGTTGTGCCCAGGGCCGGACAAAGTGCCCGCTCCACTGTTCTCGGCAGTCGCCCTGACGCCAACTTGGCGCTCTAGCATTCATTGTGTTGCCTTGTATCTCGGCCAGGAGAGCTGCCCAGAACCCGAGCGTTCAAGTTTCCTAATCCCAAGCAAGAAAGGGCTGTTCAATCTAATCAGGAATTTTATGCCCATCAAATGCCCTTTCATAATCTTTATTTATACACGAAGAAAACACCCAGTCTAAAAACAAGCAATTCCTTACTGAGCTGGTAAGTCCTCAGTGAAGTTGGAGAGGCAGCTCTGCCTTCTCTGTGTGTGGGTCTTCCTGTTTCGGTGCCCTGTCGCTTCAAGCTCAAAGTCACCTCTTATTAGATTAGGGTTTAAACAGATCTCACTCAAAGGCAGAAAAAAATGTGCATGTCAACTTAAAAATGGAATTGAGTCTCACAAAATTCTATTTTTTTCTCCTTTGAATTTCTGTCTTCAGTCTGAGACTCCGGGGCCAAAGTTGTCAATATGTTAGCTTTATAGAATTTAAAAACTTGAGCAAAATGAAAATACTACAAGGGAGGGCAGAAAATGTGCCGTGAGACCTCAGCGCTGACACACGCAAACGGAAGGACAAGGCAGTAGCTTTGAAGGCCAACTTTTATTTTGCTTAGTGTTTAATGTAGTGGCTGGTATTTTTAAAAATCATATTTAAATCATTTAGAGCAGTTAGTATTAATAATAAGTCAATATAGCGTCGTAAAGGAGATGGATACCTGTATTTGTACCAAGACGCCTGTCTCCCTGGCATAGTTCTTTCCAGGGAAAATTTAAAAGGTCACCTTAGCAAGAAATTAGCATTTGTAATAATGATATAATAACAGCAATAATAAAGTGGCTTGCATCTGCGCTCCTGTCTTCTTCGGAAGGGTGGGTGGAGGCTTTGGGCCTAAGAGGGCCTATGGGCTCCCATGGTCTCCCTGACATAGAGCTATGAGCCGCCTCTAGATTCTGTCGCTCTTTGGAGACAGGATGGATAGGGACAGATGAAAAGCTGCATCCCCAGGGAGCCCCTCCGGGTTGCACTGTGTGCCATCGCACCAAGGGAAAAAGAAATCGAAGGGGCAACTGGGAGACTGCCACCGATTCCGTAAGGGGTCTGCAGAGAGTGAAAGGGATCGAGAAGGACCGAGCCTCTGTCTAAACAGACACAAAAGACTCCTACTTGGCGCATTTTTCTCTCTATTTCAGAACCTGAGAACCTGGCGCCTCGGGATCGGTGGCTGCCGCCTAGGAGCCCCACACACCTTAGCTGGCTCCGGAGGGGGAGATTTTCAGCCCCCTAAGTTCCTGATCCCACGCCCTGGCCCGCATCAGGCCCGCGCTGGGCGGGCGTTGCCGGGAGGAAAGACACGGCAGCGGGTCAGCAGCCGAGGTCCGCCGGCGGCGGCTGCCAGCCAAGGCCAAGGGGCCCCCGCACAGCCAGATGCGCGGTCGGTGGGGCTGCCTACAAAGGAACTCAACGACATTTGAGGAGGGAGACCTCACCCCCACGTAGACTGAAACCCGGGTTAGGCTCTAGGAAAGATCGCTTAACCAGAGCTAGCTCGGACCCGCAGCAAGACAGGAGGAGCCGGGATCGGCGTGGGGAACACCCACGCTTCTCGTTGGCGCCTAGCCGGGGAGTCATGGCGCCCCAGCCTCCCGCAAGCCAAAGCCAGCTCTAGGAGGCCGGGAGAACTAGCAGACGGGCGGGCCCTAGAGCCTGAGGTTCGGAGAATGGAGGGAGGGAGTCAGAGGTCAGTGCAAATTCCGGGGACTTCAGGCCCTTCTTGAGGAGTTTAGGGGCGAAAGGGACCCGCCATCCTCCCTTTGAGCCGCCCACGTCCGGGAACCCTGTTTTCACACTCTTGGACCGCGGACAAGGATGCAAGCGGAGGGGACATGAACATTTCCCAGAGCACGGGGCTTTGCAGGGACGACTTTAACTGTTTGCTAGTGCCCAAAGCACACTGCACACCTCAATCAAGGTCAGCGGGCGACTGGGAAAGGTGGCCCAGATTCCGTCAAGTACAATGCCGGGTTACTTCAAATGCATGTCCATTCACAACACTTTGAAATCCAAACGTCCTCACAGAGAGTCCACTATCTCCAGTGACCGCATCAGTCCGGTCTAGCACCCGCACCCCAACCTCTAGCCCTCTCTGTTCCTGAGGTAGCCAGGGGTAGCACCAAGCCATGCATGGACTGGAATCTTCAGCCCAGAACGACGCCCTCGGTCCTCATGATTTTTTCTTTCTAAGTACACACTCAGCTAAGTTACCAACGCCCTAATCTGTTTTAAACAAAAGCCTTTTAATCACCCCAGCCATTTGAAAGCTCACAAGACGCGTGCGGTTTGGGGGAGATGGGAGGGACCTTACATTGTCATCACTCTCCACACTCAAAACAACATGAAAATAGACATCCCCCTAATTTAATCAACTAGCAGTAGCTATGACATATTTCAAGCCACAGACATTCGTCTTTTAAAAATATCTTCTCAACACCATCAGGTTATATACCAAGCTATTTTTTTTTTTGCAGCGGTTTGATCTTTAAGGAGACAATGATTGGGGGGGGATCCCCTGTTTCAGAAGACTGATAGTCTCTTTTTCTCTGTCTCTTTATAACTTCTCACATCATGACTGCTTAGAACAAGGGGACAGCAAACACCTCAACTGCTGCCTGTTTCTAACGGGTGAGCCAAGATCCCTCATGACAATCTAGTATTGGAAAAAAAATAAGGTACCGCCGCCTCTTGGCAAGTGTTTCTGGAACGTGAGCGCGCCCTCGTGTGGCTGTAGAGGTTCTTGCAAACGGAAAATAGTGTTTCTTGCGTTTGCCTGGAGTATGCTGTCTGACCCACAATTTGCTCATTTAGGCACAGTTAAAATAAGAAAGATGAAGAGAGAAAGAACCAACCAGTTTTAATCTCCCAGGAAGATCATACTATTAGGGCATTCACATGCAAACCAGTGCTCAGATTCTAAACAAAATAATCCCTTTCTGAGTGAAATAATTTGGTTGCCTGTCTTATTTCTGTTGCACCCTTTATCAAAAATTGAGAAATTTGTTAAAAACAACGTAAATATATTTTATTTTGTTCTATTTCTTAGAAGGTACTAGAGTTTATTTAGCAGGGTAGCAAATTTCTTTCAAATGCTAGGGATGGCATAAATCTGATCATAATTTACTCTCACAAATACCTTTTAAAAAACTGCACTTCTTCACCACAGCAAAGAGAAACTCTAAGAGGCCCCCAAATTCTCAGTAAATCCTAGCTCTACTGATAGTTAATAGGTATTTTGATCTAATAAGTGTTTTATTTTTTTCCTAAGAAGTCAACTGTTATTGAATTACTTGGATGTTTGGAGCAAAATTAAGGTCATTGATCCTGAAATTAGGAATTTTCTTAGATTTATGGTGAACCCCCAGTATGATTCTGTATGGTCATAAATATGTGCATGGATCTGGATGTGTGAGCATGTATTATGAGAGTGGGTGGTGGTTGGAAATCACAGAAGAACTTTAAGGCGCCTAATTATTCAGAGAGGTTAAAGGTGATGACCTTGACGTTTTGGAAGTTCAAAGGCATACACTTATGCACTTATGTTTTTCCTTGCCCCCAAAAGCTTTAGCAATTAAGAAATTATATTTCAAAAAAAACATACTTCCTTGGGTGAGGTGTTGGGTGCTGTGCATCTTCTGGATTTATTTTTTGACTTTGGGTTTCTGAGAGGTTAAGAGTCATGAGATCCACTTCACTCATTTCAGAGAAAAAGAAGCTTTTCTCACTTCTCTGGTTTATTGCACATTGCGGAAATCTCTTTTGGGCCCACCAGAAGGTGTATAATATAACCCAATTAAGCTGTTTAGAACTTTGGCTTTTATGGTGTTGTCTAGACAGTTCAAGGTTTTGTAAACAGCCTGGCTAGGTCCTGGGACATAAAGTGCTGTGCAGCCCTCACTACATTCTTTAACTTAAAGCGATAAATGTGGAGAAGCAGCTGAGCAGCCCCTGGCCTTAGTCCTGGGGGGGGGTTACATTCCCTCCTTCATACTCACTATGACACCAGAAGGGCCCGTATCCCCCTGTACCGTTTCAGCAAAACTTCCCCCTCACATGGAGGGGTTTTCTTCTTCTTTTGAGGAATTCTGGCTCCTTGACCTTGTTAAGAGATCATTTGGATCTTGCAATTAATTTTAATTTTTCGTTTTGTCTTTCCAAAAATTCCAAGTTCATTAGACTAGGGGTGGGGGTGGGGTGAGGATTTGCTCCTTGGAGTCCTACTGCTTCAACCTCTTTGCGTGGAAAAAAAGGCAACCAGCATTGCTGAATGTCATCACCAGTTCAGAAATGTAACACGAAATGTAACACGAACGAACGTGATTTTTAAAGCCAGTGTCGCCTGGGGGGGGGGATGTGAAGGAGCAACTCTTATTACAGAGAGATTAAAAAAGTGCTCCAATGGGCTTTCAGTTGCATGGGGAAAGGGTTCTGGTCACTAAGATAGCCTGATTAACTGCTAAACTTCTTTAAACAGTAAAAATCCATGCAGTGTATTGAAGCTGTAACCTCCATTTTGCTAGAAACCATTTATTCACACACAAAAAGACAGTGACTCATGCCCAAAGGTACATTTCCCAGAGTTTAAATAATCTGTGTTCACTGAGGGGGAAGAAAGAGATTTCTTAGACTCAAAACAAAACACTGACTCCTTCTAGTGGCCTAACTCCCTACAGACCTCGCCCCGAGCGTCCCTCAGGAGAGGAAGAGGAGGAACAACAGCGCATTGGTGGTAAAATTGTAAAGGGACGATTGCATTTACCATTTTCCCCTTATTAGGATCCGCTCGGCCAAGTCCCCGGCCTCGTCCTCAGGCTGCAGTGGTCGCTGGGAGGTCCCGAGTTGACCGCGAGAAGGAATCGTGAAGTTCCACAGAGAAGAGGCGTCATTGAACCCAAGGACATTGGGCCTGCGGAGGGCAGGCTGCTGGGAAGAAGGGTGGGTGAGTGGGGCTCTGGGGAGGGGACGCTTCCTGGAGCTCTCAAAATAAGGGGTTTCCAGTGAAATACTGCAGACGGTCTCTGTTCAGTTTCTTTTCTTTCATCCTGCGATTCTGGAACCAGATTTTGACTTGCCGGTCAGTGAGGTTGAGCATCCGAGAGAGTTGGAGTCTTTTCTCTTTGTTTATGTATACATTAAAGAAAAACTCACGTTCCAGTTCCCGGATCTGGTACTTGGTATAGGGACAGCGCTTTTTCCGGGACCTCTGGGGGGCCACTGCAAGGCAAAGAGACCAAGGGGTGAGAGAGGCTGCTGCTTGCCCCCACCCACTCTGGCCACTGAGCTGGGGCCAGGCCTTGGCCGGGTTAGGGACGTCCCTTGCCGCCGTTGAAAGGCCCTGCCTGCGTCGTGGGGGATGATATATGGGCGGGCACAGGAGAGTGCGGGCGTGGACATGTGTTCACGCCCGGACACACACACACACACACACACACTCCACACCTCTCTCTCTCTCTCTCTCTCTCTCTCTCTCTCTCTCTCTCTCTCTCTCTCTCTCTCTCTCTCTCTCTCTCTCTCTCTCCCCCCCTGTCACTGAGATAGGAAAACAGAGGGGAAGGCAGTCTCTGAACTCGAGGGAAGAGGAGAGACTGGAGCGCACCCACCGGAGGCAACTGCTCAACTCCGAGCTGAGCGCCAGACAGACACTTGGATTAAGTCCAGTTCGAAGATCACCTACCCCCTCCCCTAGTCCCAGTCACCAAGTGACTCCAAACGTCCTTCTGTCCTCTAAGGTCCTCAACCCACCTACCCCCACCCAAATGGAGGGAAAGCTCTCTACAGCGATTAATGTCCTCTTCGAAGGCTACCTTAAGCCCACCTAAATTGGTTTCCTATCATAAACACGCTTTACAACGACCCGGGAAATCTTATAGGATGTATAAACCCCTCGAATGCTTATAAAGTAGCACATAAAACGGCGCAAGCAGAGGGAGGTCCCCTTCTCACCCCCTCCCTTGCCACCGCCCCCGGCCAGCCCCTCGGCCAGCGCCGGGCGCCTACCTGTGCCGCCGCTCTTCTCAGCCCCCGCCTCCCCCGGGGGGCCCTCGACTTCGCCACTGCCGCCTTCGGCCGCCCCCTTGGGCTCCGGGCCGGGAGTCGCCTTGGCGCAGGGGCTGCCCCCGCCGCCACCAGCCCCGGCCTTGGGGTCGCCCTTGTCAGCGGAGCCCTCGGGCTGCGGCGGCGCGGGCGCAGGCTGGGGCTGCGGGCCAGCAAAGGGGGGTCCCGGCGCCGCCTCGTAGAACTGATCAAAGCCCTGAGGCAGGATGCCGTTGCGACCCACCGCGCTGTAGAAGTTGGAGGCGGCAGCCGCGGGACCGTGCGGCGGCCCGGGAGCGCCACACACCGGCTCGGGAGCCTTGAAGAGCACGTCTGGCCGCCGGCCGCCGGGCGGGAGCAGATCCCGCTGCATGGCCGCTTCCTCGGCCGCTGCCGCCGCCGCCGCCGCCGCGGCCGCCGCGGCGTAGTAGGGAGCGTAGCCCCCGGAGCCGCCGCCACCCCCGCCGGGGCCGCCCCCGCCGCCGCCCCCCGCGCCGCCACCGCCGCCGCCGCGGTACTGCCACTTGGCGCGCTCCAGGCCGTAGTCGCGAAAGGCCACCTCCCGCACCGGCTGGACGTGCGGCGCCAGGTTGGACGAGTAGGGGAAAGTCATCTGGCAGGAGGATGGCTGCGAAAGGAACGACGGCTTGCTGGCGAAGTCCGACGGGGCCACGTAGTAGGCGCAGCCCGGCAGGTACATGCTGGCTGCGCTCGGGCCGCACTCGTCAAAGTCGTTCATGGCTGCGCGGCGTGCACGCCGGCAAGCCTCGGGCCGCTCCCCGCGCCTCCAACCTGAGCCATCGATTGCTCAAGAGGCTTGGGCCAGGATCAACTAAGCAAAAATCCCCACCGGGCGCTGACGTGCAATTCATCTTGATTGATTCTGGTGGTAATTATGTCACGTGACGCCATGGAGAGAAATGTCCTTATATCTATATCAGCGCTCGCCAACACGCCCCGGGACGGCTCCTGGCGCCGAGACGCGCGCACGCTGGGGGCGGATCGGCCTCCAGCTCCTGCCAGCTCTCCCAGGGCACTCCCTGACCAGGCTGCAGGCTGGTCACCTGCGCGCCGCCGGCGGCTGCCACCGCTGGGCGCATCTGCCGCCACTGGACTGGGCCGCCCGCCCGCCCTAGCCCGCCCGCCCTAGCCCGCCCGCGCTGCTTTAAGTACCCGGACCTAGGCCGGAGGGGAGGAGGAGGGAGGGAGAAGGAGGGGGGAGGAAGGGGGAAGGGAGAGCAGCAGAGAGCCGTGGGGGGGGGGGGGGAGCCCCGGCCTCGGCACTGGGGACTAGGTGTGAGAGTGTGAGGTTCTCACCCCCACCTTTCCTGCAGCCGCTCCCTCCCCCGCCACTCAGCCACCCTCTGTGGCTCACCGGCTGGGAGCTTGTTGCTTCTTGTACAAGGGGCGTAATTGCGATACTCTCCAGGGCGCAGAGAGCCCTGATTTACATATTTCTCTGCGGACTGCGTTCCGGCTGGGAGCGATTTGATTCTCTTGGGTTCTGACACCAGAGGCAAGAGTACAGACCCTGGAAAAACGACTCTCGGGCGCTAGGTTTGGCTTGGGCCTCGGTGCCCACTCGCCTTTTCTCTTCCAGATTTTTTCACTCCGTTCCAGTCCCTCCTTTCTTACTCTTCACTCCTCTCCTTTCTTTCTCCTGTCTTCTTCTTTTTTCACCTCGGCCTCAGACCGTTTTCTTTCTCAGTACTCTTATCCGTTTCTCTTTCTCTCTCCCTCTCCCTTTCTCTCTCTTCCTCTCTCTCTCTCTCTCTCCCTCTCTTTCCCTTCTCCCCTGAGCCAACGTGGACACCCAGAGATCCTGGCGTTCTTGCTTTCCTTAAAGACCGGGGTCTGATGAACAAAAGGAAGTAAAGTCTTACCCTCACAGCACAAGGACCCTCCTCGCCGCCCACACACAAACCCTTGGTGCTCCAGCCTTCCTCGCCCTCTTATGTGTTCAAGTCTCTCAGACGGTCCACTGTAGTGGGCTTTCACTGTACTGGAGCCGGATAAGGCCTAAGCAATCTTCCTGCCATACCCCCAAGACTCCTCTGAGGCCTTTGGGTTTGATGGTCACAACTCCCAGGGAGATCCGTTAGCTCTCCAGGGGCTCTCAGTGGAGCTGCTTCCTCGCTGGAGTCTACCACCTGGCTCCGACATAGACTTTTCAGGCCCCCATCCACTTGCTCCAAGGCCTCCCTTCGGGCTGCAACAACCTTCCGAGCTCTGGAGTCCAGAAGAGGCCTGGGCTCCCACCCCCAGCTCACCAGTCCCTTAGTCTCTCCCCAAATCCAAATCCCAGCACCAAAGGCAGAAGCTTGTCTCTTCCCTCAATATTCCTCTTCCCAGGAAACCCCGCATAAGAGGCCCGGGCTTCAGCTTTGTGCCCTGGCTAGGCAGCTCTTCCCTCTCCTTCCCCAGGCCGCTGCAGTTCGGGTCCAGGGCTCTCTGCGCACCAAGCCGACTGGCAGAGAAAAGGCGTGTGGCCTGAGTTAATATCTATTTTCTACTGATGTCGCCCCTTTCTCTCTTTCTCCTCCCTCCTTTCTCCATCCCTCTTTTTCCTCCGCCCCTCCCATGTCTGCTTCCCTCCCCCCAACATTGCGCAAACAGGTCTGTGGCGGTGGTGACTGGAGCTCACCCAGCCTTCTCTCACCTAGCTGTGCATCCTGTGTGACCCCTCCCTTCATCTTCGACCCCCACACAGATTCCTGCTGGTACCATTCTCCTAGCCCAGAATCACCCCCCCAACACACATTTTTATCCGCCTCCCTATCTCCATCCTGGTCCCAAGCCTCTCCCTTTCTGACTCCTGGTCGACGCCCCTGAATCTGTCTCCTAAAATGGCTCCCCAGACACTGCACAGTGTTCCTGGGGTCGCCCAGGACGGAAGGCAGCGGTGGGGGCCCCCAATCTTTGCAAGTCTTGGGATGCAAAAAAATTTTCCGCACCTTCCCTCTGCTCACCCCACCGAGTGGGTTGTAAGGCGCACCGTCACCCCTAAAGTGAAGTCTGCTGGCCGCCGAAAAGGGAAATGGAAAGGACGAACCATTCAAGTTCAACGACATGGCGACGGCAGCTCCGGCGGGAGCCGTGCTTTGGCAGGGGAGGGTGCGCCATCTGCAGCGGCGCGCTGGCGCATTGGGGAAGGGGCAATGCCCCCCACCCACGCTTTAGAGTGCAAATCGCCCCCATTCAGCACCCAGAGCATTCATTCCTGGCCCAGACCTTTTTGCTGTTTAGTCCCAGCTCTCTGCTTTGATCCTCACCCCCCAAAACCAGGCAAATCCACAGCCTCAGGACCCGCGCGTTCCGCCAGAGAACCTACCGTGAAGACCCGGGCGTTGTGTCCTCGTCCTTGCTTTTGCAGTCCTGCCCGAAACACAGGGAGCACACAAGGCCTTTGGGGCTCAGCCCGCAGCTCCGAGAAGGATAGCTTTCTGCGCAGCGCCTAGACGCGATGCGGTAATTTTGAGCCACCCAAGATAAGACACTAACTTGACCTTAACTTTGTCAGGGCGCCCCTGGTATCTGGAGAACGTGAACAGACACTGTCTGGCAGCTCTCGTAAAAGCTGACTGGGGAAGGGATTCTGAGTCATTTCATTTATTACCACTACAGTTCTGCAAGAAAGCTTTTCCTCCCTGCCAAACTTTAATTATTTATGCTCTTTTAGGAAACGAAAGAAGAGAAAAGCAGGGGAGGTCGGGCGGGAGTGGGGGGACACCCAGAGCCAGTCCCCTTCCCCGCAGAGCCTAGGAAAAGGTTTCTTAAGTGGAGACTGGAAAACAAAACAAAACAAAAAAATGTGGGACGATCACCTTTGTCCAAGGACAGTCGGACGGGTGCTGTGCCCCCCCACCACCACTGAGGGGAGTGGATGCAGCTGGGAGAGGCCAGTGATGGGGCACACCTCCCTCCCCCACCAACAGACATGAATATTTACAACGATTCTGGATTTCTCCTCCACTAGCTCGAGTCCAGGAAGCCTCCCTAGCCTGCCTCCCAAGGGGAGAACCCTAGGGCCTTAAAAGCTTCTCCCCTTCGGCCTTCAGAGCTCTCAACGGATTGAAGAGAAGGATAAACCGTTCTTTTCCATTTTAAAACCTCTTTCTTAGGCAGAAGGCCGCATGGACTGCAGCTTTTCAGAAGAAGCGTTTGTTTTTCCACGAGGGAAGATTGAGCAATCAGATTTCATTTCTCCTTGGCATTTGCTTCTCATCCTGGTTCCAAATTTCTGCCAGAACTTCAGCTAGGGAAGGAGAAACCGAGCTCTTTGAATTTGTGTGGATCAGTAAAGGGGATGCATTTGGAAAACACCGCTGGACCGACAGATAAGATTTTATATTCAGGCTAATTTTGTTCTGGGACTGGCCTCTAGGAGTATTCTCCTCCATCCCAGACTACGGAGGAGAAACATGATGCTACGGTGCCGCTTCTATCTAGGAAAAATGTCTGAGTGTTTTGTTTTAGGGCTGGGTCTGAGTAAGTCTGGTTTCTTCTTCCTTTCTCAGCCCTCTGGACCTAAGGTCTCAATATGGGGGTCTGCCTTTGTTCAGTTGTTTTCGAAGAGAAAACCTCTCAATGCAGAGACTCAGCACCACTCCCTCCCTGCCCAGTCAGATGGGGAAACATTCTATCTACAAGACCCTCATGCATCATAGCCTCTTCTTCTTACCTTCCAATTGTTGTGTGCAAAATTTTTAATTGAAAAATGTTTTATGTACAAATAAAATTTGTTCCCCAGGAGGAGAATTGCAACATTGCTTACCCAGTATTAGAGATGCATTGGTCTTGGTTATTCTTCCTCTAGTGAGAGGCTAGTGTGTATCTCCATGTAACTCATGGATTTTCAAAGGCACTAGTATCAAGCAGGCCCTGGTTTTACTTGACTGAGCTCTAGGTTCCAGAGACATAGGGCGGAATTCCCAAGGGAGCCTGCTGAATTCCTGGTGCAGTTGCCTAAGGGACCTTCCTAGCACTTAGCTTGGTGCTGAAAAGGCTGACCAAAATTTGTCAGATAGATGTTTTGTTTTGAAATCTGAGGAGTCTCAAATCTTGACTCTTCCCCCTTCCCCCACCAATAATAGCAAGCTTTCAAGTTTGAGAATTTAGGCAAAATGGAGGATCCTTGATCTATAAAGTCAGAGTTTTCTTTGTGTTTGAAATACATTCACATCTGCCCAAGGACTTTCCCCCTTTGAGTATTTCACACATATTCTGTTCATAGTTTTTTGTAACTGTTTCCTGACTAGCTCAGAAGCCATTTTCTCATTTAATGAACAGCAAACACCAGAGGTGAAAACGACAAACAGAGAAAAGCAAAAACGAATTTGGAGGCCTGAAAAACATTATAAAAGAATCTGAAGCATCTTTTAAAATGAACACCAGCTCCCTAACAGCTTGACTGGGACCTGGATATTTATTTTCACTATGCAGCTAATATATACAAGGAAATGTTATTTTACAAAATGAAAACAAAATATCCATGGCAACTGTTAGCACAGAAAATAGTAATATTTAAAACATTAAGTGAGGTCGGTTGGGGTGAGGCTCAAGGGTTCTTGTGAGAGGACCTTCAAGGTTCAGGTTCTGGACCTTCATTAAAAAATGGCCCATTGGAAAGGAATCTGAGCCGTTGGGATGTTGTGGACCTTGCTAGGGGCTGGGGGTGGGGCTTAAAGTGCAGAGAGAAAGAGAGAGAGACAGAGAGAGAGAGAGAGAGAGAGAGAGAGA